AACTGAACCGAATACCGTTTGATTTTTTTTTTAAAATATAATAATAATAATAATAAATAAATAAATAAATAAATAAATAAATAAATAAATAATAAATAAATAAAAATTAAATCCAAGTCCCTTACTGCTTGCTCTGCCGTTCAGCTCATATTCTCACGAGTATCTCTCGTAAATATTTTATTTGATTTCTTTATGGTTTGTTATCAAAAGTTCTATATTATGTGTTATGGTGTTTACATAGTCCATATCCAAAGTCTAATATATAACAAAATAGCAATCCAAAGTTCAAACGGTATTCGATTCGGTTCAGTTTTTACCGAACAAATTCAGTTCGCTTGGAGTTTTTACCGAACCTTTCGGTATACAAGAATCTATTACCGTTCAGTTGTTCGGTATATTACCGAATCTAACTAGTTTGGTACGGTTCAGTTCGGGAAAACTGAACCGAATTGCCCACCCTTAAAGTTAATTACCAAAATGGTCCCTTGACTATAGCAAATTACCAATTTGGTCCTAAGTTAACGGTTGACTAACGGTCAAACAAACGGAGGACCAAATTGGTTAAGATTTTTAAAGTTGAGGGACTTAATTGGTAAAAAAAATAGTCAAGGACCAAATTGGTAATTTCGCTATAATCAAGGGACCATTTCGATAATTAACTCTGAAATAAATATTTAATACAATGATAAAAATGGTAAAATTATATAAACAAAATAAATAATAAATTACTATAGTTCTATTTTTACATCTGAAGGAGGGGATACCCAAACAAAACTATTGACGTTCGTTCATCTCCGGTCTGTCCTGCGGGACGCGCCGGGAGAAGGTGGCTCCAACCTTGTCTTGTTGGATAGTATCACGAATTTCTGAAGGTATCGTCGCGTGAATAGTAAGGCCATTGTTGCATTCCAGGGCCATCGAGGACAGCTTATCCGCCACTCTATTCTGCTCCCTGTACCCGTGCATGTATCGTACCTCTTGCACAGTCACCGCCTCTCTGATGCATTGCCTAATGATATTGTTACCGCAGTAGCATCCGTCGATCGCTTCTCGCAGGTTATCAATAGTTCTCTTGGAGTCACATTCAATCCATAATTTGGTAACCCCATACCTCTTCGCCATCCTGATTCCCTGGAGGATCCCCCAAGCTTCAGCACCTTCGATAGAGCATCGGCCCATTTTATACGTGAAGCTTGTGCACCATCTTCCCTGCGAGTCTCGTAGCATGCCACCACACCCCACTGCATCATTCCGCTTGCAACATCCATCCACGTTCATCTTAAACCAATTGCTGGCCGGTTTTTTCCACCCAATCTGCTTCTCCGTCGCCGGCACGTTTCTCGCCATCGTGTTTGTTCGTGCATTGAATGCTGCCTCTCTGTGTCTTGGCGCTTCAGCTAGTCCAACTTTTGATCCAACGGCATGGAGGTGGAGTTGAAAACCTCGTCATTTCTCCAACGCCACAACCACCAGAGTCTGGTGCTAAATCTTTCTGGCCATCCTTCGTCAAAACCGGCCACTGTGTCCCCCTTCAGATTCTCCAAAAGCCAGTCTGTCCAGTTTAACGCCCGAAGTCTCGCCGCTGTTCGGCGGGGCAAACTCGCGTCCAAGATTCCCTTCGCCGCAAGGCAATGCCGGAAAAGGTGATCCAAATCCTCCACCTGACCTGCACAGCGATAACAAAACGCATTGGACGTAATCTTACGACGCACTCTCATGGTTCGTGAGAATCTTCTCGTGTTTCACCAGCCACATGAATATGTTCATTTTAGCCGGTACGTGGAGCTTCCAAATGATGCCCCATTCTTTGTCCACAATTGGCGTCGTTGCATTTACAATCATCTCGTAGGTCGATTTGATGGAGAATCTTCTGTCGAACTCCAACCCCCATCCCACGTCGTTCGTCATACTCGCTTCGGCTAGGATAAAACTCGCCAGCTTTTCTTTGGTTTCAGTTGGCAGAACGTTCTCAAGGGCCTCCCATTTCCAGCCTCGTGCCACATCCCAGTAATCAGATACATTAGCGTAGAGATCTGATAGACTTAGACTTGTGCTCCGCATCTCATACAGAGACCTTGATGTAATCCACTTGTCCGTCCAAAACTTGGTATTCCTACCATTATGGACGATGTGAGTAATTCCCTTCTCGAGGACCTCCTTCGCCGCGCAAATCCCCCGCCAAGCATTCGACGCCTTGCGCCTCCCCGTCGCCCAAATCTGGTTCCGTCACCTTGCTTGTACTTTGATGCTATGGTTTGTGCCCAAAGACTGTTAGCTTCTTTCTTCAGGCGCCAGTAGAGTTTTACCATGTAGGCAGAGTTCAATTCATGCAAACTTCGAATGCCAAGTCCGCCCACCCGTTTTGCGGTTGTGACCAAGATCCAATTGGCGAGACTCATCTTAGAGCGTTCTGCCGTGCCACCCCAAATGAACTGTCTCGTGCGTTTTTCAATTTTCGAGCAGACGTCCTTGGGTAAGGCCGCCGTCTGCATGGTGTACACCGGTATGTCATTCAAAACTGATTTTACTAGTATGACCCTGCCAGCCAAAGAGAGAGTCTTGGACTTCCAACCCTCGAGACGAGCTGACACCCTTTCAAGAAGATCGGAGTACGTGTTACATGTCACTCGTCCGTGCAACGTCGGAACCCCCAAGTACTTTCCAAGATCATTCGTCCTTGCGATATTAAGCCGATTAGCAATCCCATCTCCTAAAGCTGAATCAGTGTTCTTCGAAAAATGCACCTGAGATTTGTTCAGACTGATTTTTTGCCCAGAAGCCATACAGAACCGATCCAGGCATTCTTAGATTACCACTACTTGCTCGAGCGAGGCCTCGGAAAACAAAATCATGTCATCTGCAAAACAAAGGTGTGTTAGTAACGGATCCGAGGGGGCAAGTCTGATCCCCTTCCATTTGCTCGTCGCTGCCTCCGCCACAATCAGCTGGCTAAGCCTCTCTATGCATAAGACGAAGATAGCGGGGGACATTGCATCACCTTGTGGGACTCCTCGTTCCGGGAAGAAAGTTTCAAGCCTCTCCCCATTCCAAATGATAGACATCTTAGAGGAACGAATGCAGTTCATCATAATTCGTCTCCACTGAGCATTGAAACCCGCCCATTCGAGTGTATCTTGGATGAAGTCCTAGGATAACCGATCGTAGGCTTTCTCGAGATCCAGTTTAACCGCCATGTACCCAGTACTCCTCGCTTATCCCGCATAGTATGCATCACTTCTTGAAAAATAAGCACGTTGTCTGAGATCTGCCTGCCTGGGACGAAAGAACTCTGGAACGAACCTACAATCTTAGGCAGAATACATTTAAGTCTGTTAGTAATAGTTTTCGTAATAATTTTGTAGCTTACGTTACACAAGCTGATAGGTTTGAACTGCTTAATGCTTTCCGGGGATTTGACTTTGGGAATGAGAGCAATGAGAGTGTCATTAATATTCTCTGGTAGTCTGCCTTTTTTCTATTGCCTCTCTGACAAGATTGAAGACGCTATCCCCCTCACGGTCCACATGCGTTGATAAAAACTGGCCTGAAACCCTTCCGGTCCCGGTGCTTTAAAGGGTTTCATATAAGATAAGGCACTGTGTACCTCCTCCTTTGAGACTGCCCTGTTAAACACAGTCCAGTCCAGGTCCGTCAAGATCAGAAAGTTGGCTCCCACATGGGCCCTCGTGATGTCCTCGGTCCCTTTGGAGAAGAGCTGGATGTAGAAGTTTCGAATGTGATTCTTTAGAGCATTGTCGTCCGTGATCCACGCTCCAGAGTCATCCATCAGATTGGTCACCGAATTTCACGACTTCTGAATTTCCGCTGCTCCATGATAGTAGGCTGTGTTTCTGTCCCCAGAGCAAATCCACTCTTCTCTGGAGCGTTGATACCAGATGAGTTCTTCTTGATGGAGGGTGTCCTCTAGTTTAGCTTGGAGCCGGAGGTCCAGTTTAGCTAAGCCCCTGCTTTGATTTCCGGCCAAGACCTTTTGGATGCCCAATATCCTCTTCGTCAAGTTTCGCTTCCGTTTGAACACGTTTCCAAAGACCGTCTTGTTCCATGTCGTCAATTCTGCTGCCAGGTCCCTGGTGTTTTCCATGACACTGCGGTCAGTCTTCCACACTCGCTCTGTGACTTTATGAACATCTGTATGGGTTAGCCACGTTGCCTGAAAATTAAAAGAAAAAGACTGGCACTTAGACCGGCTTCCAAACGCTTGAATAAGAAGAGGCGCATGGTCCGAAGCAACCCGGGCAAGATGCGACATGCACGCCTCTGGGAAACGGGTCCGCCATTCAACATTACTCAAGGCCCGATCCAATCGAGCACCTTTGATTTCTGAGTTATTTCCGTCTTTGACCCAGTTTAGACGGGCCCCGAAAAGCCCAAATCAACGAGCCCTTCCTCCTGGATCCAGTTGACAAAATCCGCACATCGGTGAGAGGAGAAGGAACTATTGTTACTAGTTTCCTCCCTATTGGTGACCGAGTTAAAATCCCTCGCCACTAGCCACGGCCCTGTAATCCCTCTCACGGATTGCGATAGGTCCTGCCATAACCGCCGACGTAGATGATGGGTTGGGCTTTCATACACTGGTGCAAAGAACCAAGGAGGTTGGTCAACCGTCTCAACCTGCATGAGAACGAACTGTGGGTGAGTAAAAATGACTTTAACCTGCACTTGGTTTGTCCAAAACACCCAGATACCACCGCTGAAGCCTACGGCTTCCACTCAGATCCAATCCGAGTATCCCAACTTTGCGCAGATGGAATTAGCCTGAGCGCCCGAGACTTTCGGTTCGAAGAGACCCAAAATGCATGGTTTGTACATATTTAACAAAAATTTAAGGGTACGAAGGAACGGCTTACCACCCGCACCCTGACAATTCCATAATAAAAAATCCATGAAACCGGATTAAGGAAAAAAGAGTTAGAAAATCAAACCACCACCCGAGCAAAAGCAGGCAAGGAATCGCTGAGAGCAAGCAAACATGGTGCTCATGGAACACCCACGTCACCCACCCCACTGCATAACACTGGACCTTCTTCAATGTCCATAACCACATCTCCTTCATCATCCAAGTGCCTTGGTGGATCATTTGGGTGCTCTTTGGTGGACTGCCACACCGGCGATGGGATGTCCTCCGCCGTGTTGTCGGAGATCACGTGGGTTGCGCTGATCACCAATCCCCCTTTCTCACCACGAACCACCAGGTGCTCATTTTCCTCCGCCGCCCGTCTTGATCCCTCGCTCAACTCTCGCCTGCCTTTTGACTTTGTTACCTCCACATTATTAGTCAAGTTTTGCGCTGCCATGGGCTCGTTAGCTACCCGTTTCTCTGATGCAATCACATTCGGTCGTCTTTGCCTTCCCCCCTCGGTTGCCGGCATCGAGTTGTGCCTTGGTTCCGCCTGAGATACCGACGCGTTAGCTTGAGCACCCCCAGCAGTGATGTCCTGCTCGCCTCCGGCCTCGTCCCCCATGTCCACTTCCTCCTCCACATTTTCCTCCCTTAGTGGGGCAAATCTCGATGATTGGGCTCCAGCACTCTTCCTGTTCACCCCTGTGTTCCTCCGGTTTCCCTCCGATCTCTGGTGGCGGTTCGACTGTCTTGCGTTTGTTCGTCCTCCTCTCTTTGGTGCTAATATCCAGGCGCCAAACGGGAGCTTTGGGTCCTGAGCAGCTTGATACGGCGTACCTGGAGGCTCTCTCGCCGGAGGTCGCTCATCAGATGTTTGCTCTGCCTCATGCCCTTCGGGATTCGCCGTGGCCTCGCGTGAGAGTGGGCATGCTTCCGTTGAATGTCCGTACACTCCACATGCAAAGCACACCATGTGTATCCCCTCATAAGATACGTACCGCACTCGGCCTTTATACGTGAACTTTGATATCAATGGCTTCCGCATGTCAACCTCGACACAGATCCTGACAAACTTACCTCGCGAGACTAAGCTCGTGGCCTGATCCACGCGCACCGTCCTCCCGATCCTGTTTCCTAGCTTCCTGAGGAATATAAAATTATAATACTCAACCGGCAAAATAGGAATCCTTACCCAGACGAGAATATTCTTCGTTGTGTCTTTTGTTGGATCGAAATCCGGCTCCCACTCCTTAACGATTAAGTAATGGTCCAACACCATCCATGGGCCTTCAAACATTGCGAACGCTAGATCATCCATCGATCCAAACTTCACCAGAAAATAGCCGTTGTCCAGCGCGATTAGGTCCAGGCTGCCCTTCGGCTTCCATATCGAATTCAGTCGCCGGAGCAGGTACGCGTACCCCACCGTCCGTCCCATCACCTTGACGATCAACGCGCGCCTCCAGGGTGCACGGATGATCTCCAGCTCTTCCTTCGTCAGTCGGATGGTCGGGCACAAAGGGTCATCATCAGCTTCGTCGTCGGAGTCCTCGCCATCATCATCCCCGCCAAACGTCGGCTGCTGCTGCGCATGGATCGATAGGGTCTGGCTCGCCACACTTTCTGCATATGTCCGACGCGGTTGCATCTAGGACGATCCGATCGCATTAGATAGAATGTCCCCTCCCCGCTGGATCGCCGTGCCCGCCACCACCATTGCTTCCAATGGAGTTTCAAGGACCCTCTCCATCCCTCCGATCATCGTTCCCTCAATGCTCGCCACCGTGTCCTGGCTCATCGCCTCAGCCTCGTTGCACTTAGATTTCTTTGTGCTCCATTCCAATAGATCCTGATCCCCCGAGAAGCGTTGCTCCGAGAGTGTTTTCATTCTCTTCATCCACTATTGTAAATCTTAAAAGTTATTACTATAGTTCTATAATTGGTAATTAAATTATAATTTTATATCCATTCATTATATTTTATTTCAACAAAACATACTTATATAATATGTTAAGTAATTGATTGAAGTTCTTTTTTAGTACGACTCTATTACACTGTAGTATAAGTAATTAAAGTCCTAATCAAGCATATTCCATATTCAATAATTTACATTATCAAATAATCACATGTAGCTATAATAAATTACGTCATTAAAATTTTAAAAAATATATAATTTATTTTTAATGTTGGATATTTGGTGAAAAATCCCAATAATAATCCTACGAAAAAGGATTATTATTTTATGAAAATTTTGGGAAGGAGGGACGAAGGGATAAGGCCCGGGTTGGTGTAGCTGGTTAGCACGAGTCGAGCGAATCACACTTTCATTAAAACCTTATTTGCTACCTCCCAAAAGTTCTAGGAGCGTTGTAGCCTAGGTTCCTAGGATAAAACATGTTACAGTTCAATGTTTGAGCACCCAAACTTTGAACCCAACGAACAAGATCAAAGCTTAGAACACCGTAGGCTAAGAAATGGAGTAGAAGCAGAGTGTTTTGGAGCTGAAATCGTAGAAGATCTGTTGTAAAAAAAAAATCTGCTGCTCTACTCCTTATATAGGGTTGTTGGGATTAAATAACATTGATTTTGGCATTTAAACTGAAACAGCAGGCCACTACCTGAAACAGCAGGCCACTACCTGAAATTAAATTCAAATTTTAAAAATTGGAATTAATGCAAAATTAATTCCGTAACGGATGAATTTAATCTCACAACAGTAAGAACCATTGGCTCTTACTCTTCCGCCTGGCTCCATATGGAGACGAGAGCTTCAGTTTCGACCCGGTGGTTGTGTTAGAAAAGTGATACGATACCGAAGTTTGGCATAACTCAGCCGCCTCATTTTGGGATTGGGATTTGAGTGCGCAAAAGAGTGCACCTATGCTATTCAATTCGATAAACTTTAAAAAGGCTCTTGTATAAATAGTGGTGCAAACCCACTTTCCAAACTAATGTGGGATAAAAGCTTCCTTTTTCCATTCATTTTTCCAACTCAAATGGGTTACTTTGAGAATCAATATCTCATTCACCCATTATCCGTTATAAGCATACAATATATCAATCTCTTCGTCTCACTACGAAGAACCCGGATCCACTTTGACCCGCCCCAAATCGAAGTGAACCCCACTAATAATTGTACCAAAAAATAGCCACTTATAATGTCATTTTAAGCTATTTTTTCCAACAACACCCACAAGAATGTTCAAGATACAAGTTTTACATGAACCAACGCCATTAAAAATTATCTATTATATATAAAGTGATTGTGAGATTTTTCACCCAAAGTCAAGGACAATTTAGTAATATCAACATCATTGGACAAAACTGTCATCTAGGATTAATATTTAAAGACCTTAAATAAATGATTGCATTTTCCTTTTAGTAATTAGGTTTATATACATATTTTGTAATTGTCATAATAATTAATTATTAATATAATTATCTAAGATAAATAGACAATTATTAAAAATTATTTACGGTAATTATTAGGTCTCGTACGTGTAGTACTAAAATTATTAAGGTATAGTATTATTATATTGAAATTATTAAAAATAATGTGCACATAGTACAAAATAAATTATACTTGCCTTAATAATTAATTATTAATGTAATTGCCTAATATAAATTGATAATTATTAGGTCATGTGTAGTACTAAAATTATTAGGTAAGACTTTTATATGCATATTTAGTAATTGTCAAAATAATTAATTATAAATATACTTGTCTAAGATAAATTGACAGTTATACAAACTTATTTATGGTAATATCATGTACCATGTAGAATTAAAATTATTAAGTATGACTTTTATAATTAAGATATAATAATATTATTAAACCCAAATAATTAAAAATAATTCATAGATTTGAAAACTTTTAATTACCAACACACACACACACACACACACACACACACATATATATATATATATATATATATATATATATATATATTAATATTAACTAAGATATAATATTATAAAAATCAACTAATAATTTTTTTACCAAAATTAATGTACTAATTAACTGGTCGATCTTTTCTTTTGGTATAATATAAATCGTATGTGTATATATAATTATTACATGTAAATTTCTATTAATTATTTATTAACATAATTACCTAATATAATTATCTTACTAATTGTTTCCGAATTTAATATTATTTATAGATTTGAAGACTTTTATTACCAACATGTGTGTGTGTGTGTCATTTTTTAGGTGAGTCTACCCTTCCATGAGTCTGTGTAGACATATCTGGGCCATTGAATACTTGAGATCAATGGCTTAGATTTTGCCTACTGTGCAACTGTGCACTTGCACAGTTCGCAATGCACAGTTGGTGAAATCTATATATGCCATTGATCTCAAGCATTCAATGACCCAGATCTGTCCACGTGGACTCATAGGAAGGAGTAGACTCATTCGATCATGAGTTCACACACACACACGCACACACTTAAGGTATAATATTATTATAATTAAGGCACAAGGATGATCTTTACTAAACATGGAAATCATGTTCTGGAAGCAAAGGTATTGTCTGGAAGCAGTGCAGGTGTGAAAGTACTGATACCGAGAATGTCTAACTCCATCGAACTTGAGGTTGCCTTACAAATTTCAAAGAAGACAATTCCAGTTAATTGTCTGATCATATGCAATGACGATTAATAAGAGTCAGGGTCAATCTCTTTCTCACGTAGGCCTATTCTTGAAAAACATGTCTTTAGTCATGAACAATAATATGTTGCTGTTTCAAGGGTCACAACTCCAAATGGATTGAAAATATTGATTTGTGACGCTGAAAACAACAAAACAATTTCAACAGCAAACATTGTATTCAAGGAAGTTTTAAAAATTTGTAAAAATTTGACCTTATTATATTTTCATATTTTAATATTATAATTGTTATTAAATTTCTCATCTTTTTTACTTGCTAACACAAATTTACTAAAGTAGTAATAAAATTCATCATGTTTTGATTCTAAGTATTTTTAATTTCGTATTACTGCTTAATTTTTTCTTTACCTTTGAACCATATTTATTTTACTCTGTGTGTGTGTGTGTGTGTTCAGGTGCGAACTGCCCGCCCAGGAGAGAGCTGAGAACCATCCAGCGCGCGTCACGTGTCCAGATCTATGTGCACCTATAGTTATAACTAGGTGCACCTATCGTTATAAGTAGGTGCACCTAGGTGCATGAATGTTTGCGGGTGGTTTTCACAGGTACTAACTACCCGGTGAACTCCTCCTCAAGAACAAAAGCGATGCCAAACAGAACGAACTCAGATCAATGAATATTAACAAGGCAAAATTACATGCACTTGCAGGTGAAAGTAGGTTGTTGAAAGAGCAGGAGCTCAACACATGCTAGCTGAGAATCAAACTAATTGGATGAAAAAAGTTCAAAGATTGCATTAACTTCTGATTGTTCTTACTACAAAAGGAAGGGAAAGACAGTACATTTATATGGAAGAAAAGCAGTTATAACATAAGCCTATCATGGAAAATACAAGATGCCCTTGGCATTGTTACACTCTTCATCACCCCCTTAAGCTGGAGCATGAACATCTTGAAGGCCCAGCTTAGAATGGAAGGCATCAAAAGCTGGTTTTGACAAGGCTTTTGTAAAGCCATTAGCAGTTTGCTTTTGTGAGGGAATATGTAGTAATCTGATCAGTCCTTCTTGCACTTTGTGTTTGACAACATGGCAATCTATCTTTATGTGTTTAGTGCGCTCATGGAAGACATGATTCTCACCTATGGCAATGGCAGACTGATTATCACAAAATAGATTTTTTGGGTTGTCAAACAAGACATTCAGATCTGCAAGCAAGTAATGCAACAATTGAATCTCACACACAGTTGAAGCTAAAGCTCTGTATTCTGCTTCAGATGAGGACCTTGATACAGTGGCTTGTTTCTTAGTTCTCCATGAAATCAAAGCCTCCCCAAGGTAAACACAGTAGCCAGTTATGGATTTTCTGGTCTTTGTGCAAGTAGCCCTTGATACAGTGACTCAATTGTTGAACAACATGTGAGTTATCTGACCTTGTGTTTGTTAGGTACAAGAGCTTGCCAATCAGCCTTCTATACACCTCAGGATTAGCAATTAAGGTACCCTCCAAAGTGTTCAGTTTTGACCTGTGGTGGCTGGAGTTTTAGCAGGTTTGGATTCCAAAAAGCCAGTTTCTTTCAGAATCTCCAATGTATATTTCCTTTGGCAAATATTGATACCACTAGAAGTCCTGGAAGCCTCAATTCCTAAGAAATAATTCAGATTGCCAAGAACCTTTATTTTGAAGGATCTGTCTAGGAATGTCCTTAGTTCACTGATTTGAGATAAGTCATCCCCAGCCACCAAGATATCATCCACATAGATGAGAAGAGCAATAAAAGAATTCTCTGAAGTCTTGGTAAAGAGTGAAGGATTTGATGTGGATTGATGAAAACCAACAAGCTTCAAGGCTTGTGTCAACTTGGCATTCCATTGTATGCTAGCCTACTTTAGGCTTACAAAGATCTTAGGAGCCTGCACATCTGCTTGGGACTGTCACTGTGAAAACCAGGAGGCAAGACCATGTAGACTTTCTCCTCTAGATCTCCATGTAAGAAGACATTGTTAATGTCTAGTTGTTGAATAGTCCAGCCCTT